TTGAACAACCAGACAACAAATAATAAATACATGTATTCAACATTGATGAGTTTAGATGAATATTGTCTGTTCGCAACAATATTTGTGTGTAATATAKAAAATTGTAGCTTTGATATCATAATAAAACTGATCTGTTGTACTGAATATATGTTATATATATTTATAGTCTCCTGCACAATTGCCTAATATAACTTAATTATAAGTGTAGTTTTCCTTTCCTGAAAGAGTAGTCAAACATAGAGTCAGTACTCATAAAACCCATTGTCTCCTTTGGCTCAATATCAACTGGAAAGAAATAATAATTTTCCTACTCCAAGAAAACTCCCCCTAATTATCAAAATCAATAATAATCAATGGAAAATACTTTACATGTTTATTTACATCCTAAAATTAAAATCCATWGTTCTGTAAAACAAATTACGCACGTATTCAGAGATTCATTGTTTCAGTTATGGTGTTTCGATCGTTTACTGTCCGCCATGTATGTGCAGAACAATAGATAAGTATTAAAAACAGCTGCGTAATTGTTCTTTGTTGACAGCATGCTCTCACGGCTTTTTCGTACGTGCGGAAATAATCTTTCATATGTTGTAAATATGCCCTGCCATCTACATTACGCACGTTTCGACTTGRTACTTTATCAGAGTTTATTCATAAAATGCCGCATCTCRTCTGTCGGTTATTCTTGTGCTTCTGCAACTCAGCTTGCGYAAAGGTGCAACTCACGATRMGTAAGAATCAGTACGTTTAGACCTGGTCGTTTTGTTTGTCCATAGAGCAGGTCYTTGTTTTTCGGATGTTCCTTTCTTGCTTGTACGTCTCATTTTGCGTATGGCCACAATCCTAAATACGTAGAGGTGGACCCTATACKTTGCATGGAGATCTACTGATGCTGTTGGTTTCGCTGTTTACATCTTCCGCTTATGTCTTACGCAACCAGTTCATACGTGGTTGCGTAACAACAGTTTTTCATTTATGGATACTTCACGCGCTTTACGCTTTCTACGTATTCGCCGCAATCATCACACGTTTCGCACATAAGTGCGCATCCCCAACACGTAACTACGTGTCCGCACGGAACAAAAGCGCATGTCTTGTACTCTTTTCTACAGATTTTACACTGAAATCTCTCCTTAAAGATTTGTTTTTGTTTCATGGCCAAAGGAGTCATTCTCAAACTGCTTGCAATTGTTTCACTAGAAGGCGWTTCWGCACATCTTTCCGTATCCTGCTGTGACGAAATTGTGGGTACGTTGCGTCTTGAATGCACATCGGTCACGTATATATGCGRGATGGTAACTTTGGAAACACTAGTCTCAAAGYTGAAAACTTGTTTGTCTGGTTTAGGCGTTCTCGGTGTA